AAGTAAATTCAATAAAATTTGAATATTTTTGTCTTTGATTTAATTTATTTCAAATAAAGATGACTTTTAGTTATATTGCCGGTCATATGAATAGCATTCGTGACTGAATGACCAAAAACTTGAATTTTATATTACTTTCCAAAATGTCTATTATTATCGTTGAGTTAAAAACACGAATAATCAATAGATTATGTCTAATATCTAAACATTTTTTAATATTCTCATAGTTTGTGCAGTGATTTTCCTTCAGTTTACAAATAAATGTTTGAATTCATTAAATGTAGAATTTTTGGATAATAAACAAGAATTTTCCCCTTATTTGTCACTCTATGTGCTGTTTATCTCTTAACTCAATTACAATCGCATTCACTCTTGTATTCAATTCTCTATGAAATGAAGAGTTAATCTCAAATCATATAACGTATGAATAATGAGAATCGTTTCCTTTAAATTCAATAAATAAGTCAAACAAATGCCACAAAAGACTACACTTTCTTGCAATTAGTTTTCATGAAGCGATGCAAAAGAGTTATTCGCGTCGAAAGTTTAGTGAAACAAAAGTTGTTTTAATTATTGATTTGTTACTTCATTTACAATATGAGTCAAACATATGATATGAATATGTTTGAGAGTGAATTGTCTATAAGTCAACATTTGAATTGGATTTTAGACAATATTTACCAAAATTATAAACAAGGTTTTAATACACTTAAAGAAATTCTAGTCTTAGTTAAAAGTGGACACAATTACTACCAAATCGATCACAACTATAACAATGTTATCGATTCTGTGGAGAAAAATATAGCCCTTTGGGAATCTCAATACGGTATATGTGCTCACAATTACTTATTGCTTTTGTACTCACTTTTTATTTGTTATGAATTAGCATTTATTATTAAATTGTTACTTAACTAATATATAAATTATTTATAAAAAATAAAAATACAATTAAACAGTATTTGTAAATGTTATTATAATAATTTATATATATTTTTTATTAAGGACTATAACATGCGGTTAATTATACATAAAAGAATATTATTTAATTAGTTTGCAATTAGGATATACTTTTATTATATAATTGAAAATTAGTGTAAACAACTTTGACTAAAAATATAAATTGTTTTGTATATCAATTAATAATAAGTTATCTAAAAAACAAATTCATTTAACTTATTGTAGTCTTAATTTAATTATTACACAAATTTTTCTATTGCTTAATAATAATATGATTAATAAAATAATAATAATATCGTATGATATAAATATTTAGTAAATTAACTTTATTTATAGACAATTATCTATTAAGAGAAATAAAAGCTAAAAATAAAATTTCTTTCGCAGAGATGTTTGACGTAAAATATAAGTCAGAAAATGGATTAAATTCTGATAAAACAAAATCGATTGAAACGATTGATTGCGAGAATGAGATAATTAGCGAAAGCATTGAAATAAAGCCATTCATTAGCGACCAAACGGTACAGACGTGTCAACAGATGAATACGTTTACCACAAATCAAAGGGAGTGTTTCGACACCGAGTGGTATAATAACGACGATATTTATTACATGAAGACATTGGATGCGTTGACCCCTTCATCGATGGACCAAATAATCGCCACAACAATCAAAGACGATATGATGGACAGCGGCTTCGAAGAGAGCTCCATATCTATCACTAATTGCGATGAAATCAATAGTTTTGTGTTAAATAATTTGTGCAACGATTTGGAGCCCAAACCGCATGATATCGACGAGAATTTCATTGTTAACGAGAATATTCATTACGAATGCATTCAAAGCACACAAATGTGTGCAACAAATACTGGTATTAATTGTTTAATAAGTAAACATTAATTAGTATTAGAGTTAGAATTCAATAAAGCATTCAAACAAAATATATTTAATTAACGAAAATACAAATGCAAATACATTTTCAATGATAGCAGTGAATGATTGCGTGAATAAAATAATTTAATCGTAGACTTAGCACACAATACCGTATAAATAATAGCATGTTTTTGACATTAAATTTTCAAACAAATAGTGCACACAATTAAGAAAAGATCGCATAATTATGTCCGCAAATCACGACAAGTGGACACAAGGATATGGTATAAGTGCGGTTGGGATGGATGTAGTTTTGGCAGCTTTTATAACGGAGTAGTTAAGAGACACTCGTATAAGAAACACTCGGGAAAGATGAAGATCGACAAGTCGTCCAATTCACCGATGCATAGGTTTCGGTGCGATTGGCCCGGATGTGAGGTCTCTCTCGTCGCTTATCATAAACTCGTTGAACACAAACGCAAACATACCGGAGAAAAGCCCTTCAAATGCAAATACAGGGCATGTAATTACGCCACCGCCAGACTATACTCAATGATTATTCACGAAAGAACTCACAAATTAGATCCCAATCTTAGCCTAGAATTCAAATGATATTTCATTGCCAATAAAAATTTCAATATTTTTGTAAAAGTGTAAACATTTTTTTATTTGTTGTAAAACATGATTAATCTTTACTGTAGTTTTAATGGTATAAACCATCAAAATTACAAATTCAACTAAATTTAGTGATGATATCATTTAAAGCCGTTTATGTGGTATTAATATATCCTTTGAAACAAATGGTGTGAATGTGTTTGTTTTAACAACTCTTCCAACGATACGATATTTATTTCAAAGTAACCAATGGATAGAAATTAAATAAACGGTAATTTTAATGATATATCGGTGAAGAATGTGTCGACAATATGAACGCCATATCTATATCTATCCGACACTTCTAAAGTAGTGAATACATCGCTTGTTATCTTCACTCCAGAACCCAAATAATTCAATATTTCAAGTTTTTAAAATTTTTTTAATAATGTGCGGATTGTGTGAAACATGTCTTCAGTCATATCACACCATATATCAAGACTTTTATGTTGCGGACAATTGACATCGATTTCATACAATTTTTTCGTTAAATTCCCGGAATTGTCATACATTTTATCAAAAAATATGAGTTTGAAATGAATTAATGCACTCATTTGTGACAAACCATTGATCAATCTATTACTGATATCTTCATTCATATCGCAATCCAAATCCAATCCAATGGTCTTTTTATTGTGTTTATATTATAATTGTGTGTTTATACATTGTACAATAATCCTAATTTTTGAATATACATCGATTTGATTAAATTAAATACATTGGGTCAATTGATTTCAAATGTTTGGCCAAATGTTTGGTGAATTTCAAACACGAGTTTTACAACAATTTAAAAAGTGGTCAAAAGTCTTATTCTAGTGGCGAACAAACTAAATATTGAATAATAAATTGTTGACTTTAATTCTAATTTTAATAAGGTAGTGATAATATATAAAAATAATTTTAAAGTCAATTAAATAATTAAATTTTATTACAAAATACAAAAATTATTCCAAATAAGAGCTCTTTTATACAAATCAATTCAAATGTAATAAACATTTCTTTTATAGACATTTCAATACATCAATAGATTAATCATAAAAGTAATAATAGAGTAATAAAATAAAAGTTACATTATTTTAGTTCAAAAAATGTAATACAAAAAGAGTTTTAAGAAAACATTTTAAATAACAATTGAATGACAAATATTTGTATATAAAGTCCAACAATAGTGAGAATGTGTTAAAACAGTGATTGAGAGTAAAAGTTGAGTGTTTTGTCGTATTTTCAATGAAATTTCAATCAGACTTTCAATGAAATGAGAAATAAATAACGATTTGAAGTGAAGTTTTGAACAATTCATGAATCAATTCTCTTTCAAATTGACTTAAATTCTTAAATTATTTTAATTATATTTTTATAATTGATTTATATTTATATAATTATTATTATTATACTATTTATTATATATATTTAAACTGTGGTTTAGAAATAAAATTAATAAAATTGTTTTTAAAATTATTATTTACTAATGGTTTTTATGAATTGAATGAATGATATAAACGATGGCATCAAATGCCAGTTAATTCATGAATGTTTGCATTGTCTGAATGGGAGGCATATTTGGCGTCCAATTGCCTGTCGTTACATAATTTCGGCGGAGTTTGAGTTTGACTGCGGGTCCGCTCTGACTAATGGCGTTCACGGCGTCCGCGTGTGTCAGCCCTACAGTCGAGTAGCCATTGATTTCAATGATTTCATCGCCAATGTTGAGCAGTGAAAAGGCCGGTCCGTCCGGTGCTATACGGAGGATAAAGAGAGGCATTCCATTGAATTCGGCGCCGCCTCTGATTGAGAATCCAAAACCTTTTGGGCCACGGATTAGCTCTACTGTATAACAATCGGCCGGAATTATCCGCAATTGAAGACTTTCACCTGAAATTCACAAAAACCTATGTTATAAAAGTGTGTGTCGTTTGAAAGAGTGATGAATGAAATACCGGATTCTTTAATCATATTCACTATTTCTGGATGAGTTAGTGAAGTGATGTCAATGCCATTAACGGCTATAATCCTGTCCCGAATATGAAGTCTCTGACATCTGTGCGCAGGACTGCCTTCAATGATGCGACCGATGAGAGCGCAATCCCCGCACGAAATGATGACAAAACCAAAACCTTCGGCGTCTTCGCGAAAGAGTGTCACGTCATATGTGTCTGCGTTTCGCTTCCGTCTGACCAGAATTGCGACCATTGGTCCCGTTTGGGACATCAATTGTACCACTTCTTGATGACTGGCGCCCATTACGTTCCTATCGTTGATCGAGATTATCTCATCGCCGGCTTTAAGCACACCATCCCTGTGGGCGACGCCTCCGATCACAATTGAACCAATGGCTACATTACGGCCCTCTTCAGCGCCGCCAACAATCCGAAACCCAAAACCCGATTCGGCGCGCGTTAGCGACGCCCGGAAGTACTCGAAATCGTCTTCAGTAGTCGTCGATGTAGTCATATCTGAATTGGCAATCGATGTCTGAAGAGGTGGTGTCGGAAGCGGTGCATCATTTGGTACATATTGTGCTGTGAGTGCGGGCAGTAGTGGTGCCGATTGGGACTGAAATACAACATTCAATTATTTAATGTCCAAAATAAAGAGTTGATTCAAACCTTAATGTTGTCGTGTTGTGGAAAGTAGTCGTCGTTTGCATAGGAATTACTATTTGGCAAATACTGAGACACGGAATGGTTGGGCGCGAACTCATTGTTAGTGTCTCTCATTCTACCCATCATTTCAGCGTTAGGTGTCTTACAGTTACGAACCGGCGGTAAATAACTGTCTTCATTATCCCAATTGTTTTGCAATATAATGGGAGTCTTAGAGCGGAATCTCTTCTTGCGTTTAACCATAAGAACTGCTGACTCGTCGATCGGACACTGCTTGAGAGCCTCGACCACATCCAAGTGTGACATCTCTGATAAGTCGCAGCCATTGATCGACAGAAGAATGTCTCCCTGTCTGAGAGCACCGCAGCGGTCAATGTCTAGGATTTTCTTAACCTTTTGTCCGGAATGCGCGTCACTTATCGTAAAACCAAATCCTGTTAACAATTAAAAATGTTATCATTAGATAAAGTGTACGACAAATACGACAACTAAAGTAAACACAACTAATGTTTAATCTGTTGACAACCAAAGTATTGAAGGCAACAAACCTTGTATTCCTTTAGTGAGAGTAACGCTGAGTAAATCAAACTCGTCATCGTTGAGGTCGGGCGGCAATTGGTATCCGCGGGCGAACGTCAGCTTAATTCGATCGCCGACTGTAAACGTGGCGAACAGTTTGGCTATATCTGAGTGCTGGAGACCGGCAACCGATACTCCCGACACCGACACGAGTACATCACCCGGTTGTATGACACCTGACGAATACGCCGGTCCCCCAGGGATTATGCTCTTCACCACAACCAGACCTAATCCGCATTATAAGTCATTTGATATAATATCACATTTACTTAGGAATAGACTTAAAAAGCGATACAAAATACAATATAAAACAAAAGAATAACAAATATAAGAAACTACAAGAAATTTAATATATTTTATGTCAAAAATGTCACGTTATATACTGTACTGATCCTTACAGTCTCTTTACAATATACAGTACAATACGAATAATGTATCAATAAAGCAATATTCAGGAAATACTAAAATAGCAGAAAAGCTGTCATTTTTGTGGATTCTAAAGGGGCGATCAATTAATCGTAGCCTACAGCCAGGCTAACATTATGGGTAATTCTAAGCTATCAAATATTCCTGGTTCTACTTTTTAAAATATTAAAACTTGCATTTTTTGGCAATTTGTGAAAGAATATTCACTTAAAGATGTTTCCTAATCAATAAAAAGCGGATTCAAAAAATGTTTGAAATTAGATTGTTTGGAAATAGTTTGTAAATGTGGTGTAATTTGAGTGTTAGAGGGAGTGTTGAATGAGTGAATGGATGCAAACCCTTATCAATTTCTACGAGAGTAAATCCGAAACCAGAGACTCCTTTGATGAGTTCCGTCTCATAGGGCCTCTCGTATTGAGTCCTTTTGTTGATGTGATCGATATAATAGACGCCGTAATGAGCATCGGATATACGCTCCCATCCGTGGGGAAGGGATGAGGCGTCGATCGCAGCGATGTTTGAGCGGTTTCGGCGACGCTTAGAGGCCAGCGATGTGTTGGAGTTATTCATTGATATTTGTTCATAATTTGGTAAATTGTTTGATGTATTGTTTGGCGAATCATTTGAAGGAAATGTAGTCAATGGGAGCGGAGTTCCTATTAATTACACAAAATACAACTCTAATGAATATTAAACGAAACATTTATAACTTATGTCTTACAATTCAATGTCAGACATTAATTAAGATAATTTAATTCATACAAAAACTGAGCACTCATTCAAACTGACAGAAATGAATGTCAATTTGAATTGAAAGTCAATCAATATTAGTATCTATTAAAATGATAACTTCAATCAAATGTAATGCCTTTCGCATATCAACCAAGTGTTTAAATTATAACAATTGATTGTAATATAATATAATGTTAAATAACATAGTCAGTAAATATTACAAGCAAAATGTAATCCAATAAACAGAAAATGCAAATAAAAATACGACATTTGCTAAGAAATATAATATTTGTAAAAAAATCTATTGGAAAAACTTCAATAACAGTCGAAATATAAAGCAAAAATGTGTCTCAATTTGTTAAAAGGCGTTCAATAAATAAATCCTTGAATTTATTGTTACAAATAAATAAGAATTTTATAATAAAGAGTTAAAAACTTTTCGTTTAAAATAAAGTATTAATAAAATATTTATAAATACAAAACCATTAAATAAATTTCGGTCCAAACCTATGATTACTATTTAAAAGTAACTAAATTTATGACTCATTTCTGGTGAACACAAAAATAGTCTAAATATAAGACATAATATTTATAATAAAATATATATAATTAAGAGTCGAAAACCCGACGAATGAATACAAATTTAATGTGAATTAAAACACAATAAAAAAATAATATATGATAAAAAGGCAAATATATTCCCCACACGACTGCAAACGCCCACTAAATGTATTCAAAAGTATTTCTCTATTTTATTTAACGGTCATAAAAGTCATTGATAACAGAGTTAGCGATTGATATGACATATAGTTTGTTGGCCACAGATTCAGACATTGATTTATAAGTTTTCATTTCGTTTTGATTCTCACTTTTCAGTTAAAATAATAGATTTATATATTTCTATATCTCATGAAAATTGATGAAAGAGTGGTAAGTATTGGGCAGAAGAGTACCAGTAAATCATTATTCATGAACTGATCCCAAACCATAAAACTTTTCAATTAATTTTGTTACTCTTTTTATATCATCAAAAAAATCTATTCATTAAATACAATACTTTTTAACAAAAAAATCTAATTCATTATAAATAAAAAGAGAAGGAGTTCTTGTTTTCACGATTCGTTTAACTTATAAAAGCAGATATAAAAACAAAATCAAGAGTTCATATGTAAAGTGATTTAATTCAAGTGTAAAATTCATTATTTCTTAATAACAATTGTCAAAAATTAGTGGTCATATATCGGCTAATATAGCAGTTATCAAGTGATTGAAAGTAATAGCAATTGTTCGCATACCATAGAAGTGGGCGGCGTATACACCGGACTCGAGGAGAAGTCCCGATCTGTCCATTTCTATAAACTGCTCTTTGGTCACAAACTTATAGTCGACGCCATCGGTTTCATTAGGTCGCGGGGGTCTTGTGGTGCAGGGAATGGTCCGCACGTAGACGTTGTCTCTGATGGTGGCCTGAAGGTCGTGATCAATGCTCCCGCGAGCGAACCTTCGCGCCAGATATTCGCGCAGTTCAATGGGCAGTCCGTACGCATTGGACGCCTGAACTGATTTGACAGAATGGGTGGGCTTTGCGTTCACAATCTCGCACACGTCCTGACGGGTAAGTCCGGCCACTTTCACGCCATCCACTTCGATGATTATGTCACCCGAATCGATGAAATACGGCAATTGACCGTAATCAGAGCCACCACCAATTGACCAATCGCCTAATTGTTACATTCAAGTATTCCAGTTATTATTATCACATTTTAAATTTAAAAGCAAAACAGATATTATTTTTGAGAATATTCTCAATAATACGTGCATTTGAGTGAAAAAAGAAATCTTTTGAGCGATAAATTCACTTTCAAAACGAATGGTTTGTTTTATCAAAATGTTTAGTGGATTTTATGCTTCATGTGTTACAACAAAACAATTTCTAGTTTTAATCGATTTTTAGATCCGATTTTCGTGTCATTAGAAGCGGTCTATTAGTTATGAATTGAGTTTTTCACTACTTTTTTCTAAACACAAATTGCGTACAAAAATTAATTGAAACATATTTTTCTGAAATCCAAATTAAAACTCTTCTAACAAACTAAAGAGATATAGAAAAAGCTCAGCCCTTATACCACTCAAAACCAATTATTCCTTTAAAAGCATCCAATTTTGTCAATAATAATATCGTTTATTCACATAATATTTTAAAAACACAAACGAAAGTAATGTAAAATGAATTGCGAATTGGTTTACATAAACTACTACTCATTTGTTTCATTTCTTTTTCACACAAGTTTTATCAATTATTTAACTAATTTATGTGACATTTCCTAATAATTAGCATATTTTGCATACATTTGTAGTGTCTATTGAGATATCGTTATGTGGGGTAAAGGGAAGAGGAGTACTGAAACATGCATTTATAATGGACTACAATTTGATTAATACAATATATTCTAGAACTAGAAATATATGGAAATAGTTGTTAAAAACAATTCAATTCAAACTGTCATACATTGAGAAATGAGAGGAAAATATTCAAAATAAGACAAAAGATATATTGAATAAAATATTGAAAAATGCAAAACAAAATGAAACAAAAAACATCCATAAAAGACAATGAAAGAGATGACAAACCGATAACTATGTTGTCGTAATGGAAGAGAGATTGTGACCAGTGATGGGTCTGTTGATAATGTGGTGGTAAATCATTATCATTTTGATAGATCTGATGATTGGTGTCATTGTTTTGATGATTGGCGTCACTATTATTAAACTGTTGTTGTATTTGCTGTTTATGTGAATCAGTTAATTGTGATGAAAGCGTTTCTTGCATTTCGATTCAAAATCCAATTGTAATTACTATTTGAGACACAAATTAAGAGAAAAATTAGTCTATAGTTGAGAGCAATTCGCACACAAAATACACTCTTAAAACAACAGTTATTATGAAGTAATACAAAGTTTATGGCATTATATTATAAACACAAATATTTCTGAATAAATAAACACAAAACTCATCGCAGTTTATATAAAGCTATTTAAAGACCTAAAGAAACAAATGGTTAAACCTTTTTCCTCATCACTCTATAAATGCATTCAATGAAAGTCTGTTTGTTTGTCACACAAAAGCAAATTAGAAAATCTAAATTAAAGTGTTATAATTTCAACACAACTTTTACGACGACTTTCGTACAACATTTATGCGTCAAATGAAAACCACATTCAAAACCGTTATAATTAAGTCTTAGATCTGTATTGAGATATAAACTAACAATTATTTAGTTTAATTTATAAATATTAATGAATATTATAATTTCCAATGCATTTTCGTTATTCATAAACATATAATCAATTAAATGAATGAAATGAGAAAAACAAAAAATTGTTTCACTTTATAAACAAAACGATAAGTTTTCTCAAAGAAAAGATCGTATTATAATTGAAATTGCAATCAAATTACTGGTTATAATTGTGTGATTGTAATCAAAAACATTTGTTTTCATTTAAATATTCACAGAATTATTATTCACATAAATATTGTTTGAATTGAAATTAAATTTGGAAATGATTTAAATAAATGAAAAACTGCTCACAATTCACATGAAATGAATGAATAGGAAAAGTCTTTTGAAAGTCATTCGGAGATCGGATTACAGTTGAGATAAAAATGAAATCTTTTTAAACAAAAAACAATGAAATCTCTAGAAATGAAGTGGAATTGAAGTGAAGTTAATGACAGAGAAAGAGAGATAACTGTGGACTCGGACTATACGCTCAAGAGGTCTTGTATTTAAGGTCAGGTCATTAGATAATTAAATGTTAGAGCAATGGGTGTCAGCGCTCACACACACAACACTCGTGTATAATGTTTGGCACTAAAGAGTGTACACTATTTGACATAACTTTTACGCCAATAATAGGTTTTGGATCTCATTCTGATGTATGTCTACATCAATAACATTAGCTTTTCTTGTAATTCACTTCACATACGAAGACAAGTGAACAGACCTTTTATTCTTCACTTCACTACTAGTGGCGTAACTGAGGAGAGAGAGAGAGAGTCAAAGAAAAGATCGTATTATAATTGAAATTGCAATCAAATTACTGGTTATAATTGTGTGATTGTAATCAAAAACATTTGTTTTCATTTAAATATTCACAGAATTATTATTCACATAAATATTGTTTGGCTTTAAATTCAATTTGGAAATGATTTAAATAAATGAAAAACTGCTCACAATTCACATGAAATGAATGAATAGAAAAAGTCTTTTGAAAGTCATTCGGAGATCGGATTACAGTTGAGATAAAAATGAGATCTTTTTAAACAAAAAACAATGAAATCTCTAGAAATGAAGTGGAATTGAAGTGAAGTTAATGACAGAGAAAGAGAGATAACTGTGGACTCGGACTATACGCTGAAGAGGTCTTGTATTTAAGGTCAGGTCATTAGATAATTAAATGTTAGAGCAATGGGTGTCAGCGCTCACACACACAACACTCGGGTATAATGTTTGGCACTAAAGAGTGTACACTATTTGACATAACTTTTACGCCAATAATAGGTTTTGGATCTCATTCTGATGTCTACATCAATAACATTAGCTTTTCTTGTAATTCACTTCACATACGAAGACAAGTGAACAGACCTTTTATTCTTCACTTCACTACTAGTGGCGTAACTGAGAGAGAGA